TTGTTCTTGGGGCATTTCGCCTTCAGTTTTGTTGTCTTCAGCAAGTGAAATTCTCAATCGGATTCAGGTCAGGTGATTGACTTGGCCATTGCAGAACATTCCACTTCTTTCCCTTAAAAAACTCTTTGGTTGCTTTTGCAGTCTGCTTTGGGTCATTGTCCATCTGCACTGTGAAGCGTCCAATGAGTTGTGAAGCATTTGGCTGAATATGAGCAGATAATATTCCCGAAACACTTCAGAATTCATCCGGCTGCTTTTGTCAGCAGTCACATCATCAATAAATACAAGAGAACCAGTTCCATTAGCAGCCATACATGCCCACGCCATGACACTACCACCACCATGCTTCACTGATGAGGTGGTATGGACGGATCATGAGCAGTTCCTTCTCCATACTCTTCTCTTCCCATCACTCTGGTACAAGTTGATCTTGGTCTCATCTGTCCATAGGATGTTGTTCCAGAACTGTGAAGGCTTTTTTAGATGTTGTTTGGCAAACTCTAATCTGGCCTTCCTGTGTTTGAGGCTCACCAATGGTTTCCATCTTGTGGTGAACCCTCTGTATTCACTCTGGTGAAGTCTTTTCTTGATTGTTGACTTTTTGACACACATACACCTACCTCCTGGAGAGTGTTCTTGATCTGGCCAACTGTTGTGAAGGGTGTTTTCTTCACCAGGGAAAGAATTCTTCGCTCATCCACCACAGTTGTTTTCCGTGGTCTTCCGGGTCTTTTGGTGTTGCTGAGCTCACCGGTGCGTTCCTTCTTTTTAAGAATGTTCCAAACAGTTGTTTTGGCCACGCCTAATGTTTTTGCTATCTCTCTGATGGGTTTGTTTTGTTTTTTCAGCCTAATGATGGCTTCACTGATAGTGACGGCTCTTTGGATCTCATCTTGAGAGTTGACAGCAACAGATTCCAAATGCAAATAGCACACTTGAAATGAACTCTGGACCTTTTATCTGCTCATTGTAATTGGGATAATGAGGTAATAACACACACCTGGCCATGGAACAGCTGAGAAGACAATTGTCCCATTACTTTTGGTCCCTTAAGACGTGGAAGGCACATATGCAAACTGTTGTAATTCTTACACCGTTCACCTAATTTGGATGTAAATACCCTCAAATTAAAGCTGACAGTCTGCAGTTAAAGCACATCTTGTTTGTTTCATTTCAAATCCATTGTGGTGGTGTATAGAGCCAAAAATTTTAGAATTGTGTCGATGTCCCAATATTTATGGACCTGACTGTAAGTGATCAACAATTGGGGAACACCAGTCTGACTCTCAGAAGAGATAATGTTCTCAGGAAGAAGGTGGTAAGTAACAGCACTACTTGCCTGGTTCCAAATGTACAGAAGAAGAGCGACAGTCGAGACCGCAGCGGAAAAACAGTTGGGGGCTCAATCCACGTGTTGGATCAAGAAAACCAGAACAAAGTAGAAAGATAAAAAAAAAGGGGGGATAGGTAGAGAGCAGGGAGAAAGGAAGGAGGGAAGGAGTGAGGGAGAGTGATGGGGGGGGGGTAAAATAACTGGCCAACAAAGTGGCCTCAAATGGTAAGGGGCAGTTCTAGGGCAGGAGGTCAAATGAAAAATGTGAAAAGAGTTTGCACTCACAAAAAAAAAGCTAAGTTCCTCTCCAGTTCAATAGCCCAGCGCAGGTGAGAATGGACAGCAACCTTGGTAAGGGGCTAATATTCCACATCATGGCAAGCCGCAGTCCATACCGGCTCATAGTGCAGTGGAGAACAAGTTGCGGTAAGTATCGGTCGTCGTACGAAAATGCGTCCAGCATGTCCAAGTTTTGATGCAGTGCCCAAATGGTTAACACTTCCGTCTGGCAGTACTCGGGTCGCTGGTTCAAACGACACCACCTGCCTGGAGTTTGCATGTTCTCCCTGTGCCTGCGTGGGTTTCCTCCAGGTACTCCGGTTTCCTCCCACACTCCAAAGACATGCTGGTAGGTGAATTGGATCCTGTCTAAATTGTCCCTAGTATGTATATGTATGAATGAATGTAAGTTAGGGACCTTAGATTGTACGCCCCTTGAGGGTTAGGGACCTTAGATTGTACGCCCCTTGAGGGTTAGGGACCTTAGATTGTACGCCCCTTGAGGGTTAGGGACCTTAGATTGTACGCCCCTTGAGGGTTAGGGACCTTAGATTGTACGCCCCTTGAGGGTTAGGGACCTTAGATTGCACGCCCTTGAGGGTTAAGGACCTTAGATTGTACGCCCCCTTGAGGGTTAGGGACCTTAGATTGTACGCCCCTTGAGGGTTAGGGACCTTAGATTGTACGCCCTTGAGGGTTAAGGACCTTAGATTGTACGCCCCTTGAGGGTTAGGGACCTTAGATTGTACGCCCCTTGAGGGTTAGGGACTTTAGATTGCACGCCCCATGAGGGTTAGGGACCTTAGATTGTACGCCCCCTGTTTGAGGGTTAGGGACCTTAGATTGTACGCCCCTTGAGGGGTTAGGGACCTTAGATTGTACGCCCCTTGAGGGTTAGGGACCTTAGATTGTACGCCCCTTGAGGGTTAGGGACCTTAGATTGTACGCCCCTTGAGGGTTAGGGACTTTAGATTGTACGCCCCTTGAGGGTTAGGGACTGATGTGAATGTACAATATATATGTAAAGTGCTGCGTAAATTGATGGCGCTATATAAGTACCTGAAATAAATAATAAATAATATAATGTACTTGGAAAGTCTATTTTTTGATATATGAATCAATTCTTCCATTTCAGCAATACAGTCAATTTGGGCTATGAATATTTATCTGACCTCAGCCAATCCCTGGGAGAAGACACCCAGAAGGTGTGGCTGGGGAGAACATAAGTATTTGGGAGGGTCCGTTCAAAAGTTTCTTCTCCTGGGTCCTCTGCCCCTGACAGGCAGCCTGTGTTACTGAAAAGCTGTTGCAGTTAGGGCTCAACATGTGTTTTGTTGAGGCCCCCGAAAGAACCTGGACTTGAGGACATTTGCTGGAGGATGCTACCTTAGGAAGGTGGGCTGGAGAAGGATTCCTTCCACTGAAAAGTGGGGCCTGGCTGGGGGGCTGTCTCTGGACATTGTGAGTAGGACCTTTTGCCCAGGATGTCTGTGCTTCAAGGGTTGGATAACAGAGGTTGCTACAAAGACTGTGACTGCTCTTACAGAATCTCAAATTAACTGACTGTTCCCTCTACCTCCAGTAATACTTAAAGCGATATTAAAGGTCAATTGTTTTTTTTGAAATGGTGTAATGGTTTTGTATACAAAGCAGCCAGATTCTCCTCTTCTCAGGTCCCTTGCCGACACTCCTGGCTCCTCCTTTCTGTCGGGTGCCCCCATAGCAAGCACTTTGCTATGAGGGGCACCTGAGCAGGCATGTTCCCAAGCCGCTACTTTTTCCGTGTGTCCATTCACACACAGAGCCACGGCTTGGCCCCGTCCCCCCTCTCTCCTCATTGGCTGACTGGCTGTGATTGACAACAGCGAGAGCTAATGGCTCCCACATGCTGTCTTAGCCAATGAGGTGGCAGAGACCCAGGACAGCCGAGGCTCTTATGCACATCCCTGGATCACGATGGGGCTCAGATAAGTATTGAGGGGGCTGCGGGCACTGCTGCACACAGAAGGTTTTCAACTTCATTCATAGAATGTATAAAGGTAAAAAACCTTCAGACTTTACAACCACTTTAAAGTGGAGATCCAATCAAAAAAAAAAAGTTATCAGCTACAAAAACTGCTGACTTTCAAAATGACTTTGACTGGTTAAGGAGCGCCAGGGGACAAAAGTCCACAATATGACACAATTGTCCATAAGGATTAAAAGTAAAAAACCGTGTATTGAATGATCCTGCCTCGACCTTGTTTGTCATGAACCTTGAACCCCTTGCTCCTCCCATGAACTTCCTGATATAAGCCGTCTCTGCACTTCCTGCTTGCCAGATTATTGTGCTCTCCGGCCAGTATTGTGCTCCTTGCCTTCTCTGCTGTTATCCATATTTTGCTACCACTCGTTATTGACCCTTGGCTTGTTCTCGACTACGCTTCTGCCTGATCCCAACCTGCGACTGCTCTCTTACCGACCTTGGCTTGTTCTCGACTACACTTCTGCCCAATCCCAACCTGCGACTGCTCATTACTGACCTTGGCTTGTTCTCCACTACACTTCTGCCTGATCCCAACCTGCGACTGCTCCTTACCGACCTTGGCTTGTTCTCGACTACACTTCTGCCCGATCCCAACCTGAGACTGCTCATTACCGACCTTGGCTTGTTCCCGACTACGCTTCTGCCTGATCCCAACCTGAGACTGCTCATTACCGACCTTGGCTTGTTTACCGACCACGCTTTCTGCCCGATCCCAACCTGAGACTGCTCATTACCGACCTTGGCTTGTTCTGGACTACACTTCTGCCTGATCCCAACCTGCGACTGCTCCTTACCGACCTTGGCTTGTTCTCGACTACGCTTCTGCCTGATCCCAACCTGCGACTGCTCCTTACCGACCTTGGCTTGTTCTCGACTACACTTCTGCCCAATCCCAACCTGCGACTGCTCATTACTGACCTTGGCTTGTTCTCCACTACACTTCTGCCTGATCCCAACCTGCGACTGCTCATTACCGACCTTGGCTTGTTCTCGACTACGCTTCTGCCTGATCCCAACCTGCGACTGCTCCTTACCGACCTTGGCTTCTTCTCGACTATGCTTCTGCCTGATCCCAACCTGCGACTGCTCCTTACCGACCTTGGCTTTTTCTCGACTACACTTCTGCCCGATCCCAACCTGAGACTGCTCATTACCGACCTTGGCTTGTTCCCGACTACGCTTCTGCCTGATCCCAACCTGAGACTGCTCATTACTGACCTTGGCTTGTTTACCGACCACGCTTCTGCCCGATCCCAACCTGAGACTGCTCATTACCGACCTTGGCTTGTTCTGGACTACACTTCTGCCTGATCCCAACCTGCGACTGCTCCTTACCGACCTTGGCTTGTTCTCGACTACGCTTCTGCCTGATCCCAACCTGCGACTGCTCCTTACCGACCTTGGCTTGTTCTCGACTACACTTCTGCCCAATCCCAACCTGCGACTGCTCATTACTGACCTTGGCTTGTTCTCCACTACACTTCTGCCTGATCCCAACCTGCGACTGCTCCTTACCGACCTTGGCTTGTTCTGGACTACGCTTCTGCCTGATCCCAACCTGCGACTGCTCCTTACCGACCTTGGCTTCTTCTCGACTATGCTTCTGCCTGATCCCAACCTGTGACTGCTCATTACCAACCTTGGCTTCTCCTCGACTACGCTTCAGCCCGATCCCAACCTGCGACTGCTCCTTACTGACCTTGGCTTCTTCTCGACTACACTTCTGCCTGATCCCAACCTGAGACTGCTCATTACCGACCTTGGCTTGTTCCCGACTACGCTTCTGCCTGATCCCAACCTGAGACTGCTCATTACCGACCTTGGCTTGTTTACCGACCACGCTTCTGCCCGATCCCAACCTGAGACTGCTCATTACCGACCTTGGCTTGTTCTGGACTACACTTCTGCCTGATCCCAACCTGCGACTGCTCATTACCAACCTTGGCTTGTTCTCGACTACGCTTCTGCCTGATCCCAACCTGCGACCGCTCATTACCGACCTTGGCTTGTTCTCGACTACGCTTCTGCCTGATCCCAACCTGTGACTGCTCATTACCGACCTTGGCTTGTTTACCGACCACGCTTCCGTTTGATCCTTACCTGCTTAATACGCTACTGGGCCTCCCCTTTCTTACCTCCTGGTGGGGTAACACGCAGCAAAATCCATCTCCACCATCAGGAGCTCTGGTGAACACCGGTTGGTACTTAGACTCCACACCTCAGGTGAGCCCACTCTTCCACCACGGTGACCTACCTGTGTACCTATCCTGCTGATTTCGGTGTGAGCCTCTCCACTGCTATAGCAACTGGTCTTCGAGCCAGACACCTGATCGTGACATACGTAGAAAGCAGAAGGTCTTTGGAGGATCGAAGAGAGAGGTTTGGTTGAGGAATCAACGTATACAGGGAACGAACGTCAAGCGAGGCCCATAAATTGGTCTCTGTAACCAAGCCCAGATGGGCAGTGAGAAACGCATCAGAGGGCATGGCTAGTGCGGTGCTGAGGCCACTCCATATACTCAACACACCTGACTCCTGGGGCTGGTTCTGAGCAGTGTCCGGTTCCGCTTACTTCATTCAAGACACTGGAACAAACTCAGGATGCTGCTCCCTTCATTCCTATGTTGTTAGGGTGACTTTTCCTTTTGAATCCAGCTTTAGAGCAGCATCAGTAAGCTCTATACATGGTTTATGTGATGGGAGTCACTTTGGGGGGGGGGGGCCCATGGAACCCCGCTCACTTTGGAGAGGTGGGGAAACCCCTGTCTCAGCTCCCCATATCCCTATTATGTGTAAGTCACCCTGTGCCTGTTAGGGGTGCAGGGTGAAATGTCCTAATATTGTGTAGACATGTATAGGAGATAGGTGGGGGTTGTTCATTGTTTAATGCCATGTGGTTGTATCCCATTGTTCTATTGTGTGTCTTGCTTGGGAGCAAACTATTATGGGATGTATGTGTTTGTGTATTGGAGAAAGTATAGCGAGCGCTACAGACAAAAATGCACAAGCAGCTAGAACACCAAAAAAGGCAACCAATCCACCTTGCAATAGTCAATAATAAAGAAAAATAGGTGCAGCGCTAGAATCAAAAATACAAATAATTCTCTCTAAGATAGATGTGTAAATATCAGTGGTCAAACAGATATGCCACAATAGTAAATAATGCGTTTAGTCAATGAGAAGTGCTAGAGCACACATAAAGTCCTCGTCCCAAAGTAATGGTAGTAAAGAGGTGAAGAAAATCCTGGAAGCAGATAGAGTGCGCACTCACCAGAGGTGCGTTAAAATAACGCATGTGGGGAAATAACTGCTGCAAGATCTCTCCAGCATCAGAGCTCTGGTCAGATCGCACTGCGTCCTCTCCTCTGTCTCACCGCAAAGGGCAGTAGCCAAGTTGCATCCAACCGTGTGGGCGTCAGGGAACTCCTTGGTCCAGAGAGGCACTGTAGGAAATGGTGCTCTCAGAGAGAGCCCAATAAAGGACGCCACATAGTGTGATGCTGTTTGACTCAAGTTTAATGGTCAAAAAGGGGGTGAAACAAACAAAATTACTGACCATAGGTAGTTGGCACATGTAGTGGCTAGATGTCCATGAGCTGTAGCCCCCTGACGCGTTTCGTGCGATGCACGTCCTCAGAGGGTCTGCTTCCAGGATTTTCTTCACCTCTTTACTACCATTACTTTGGGACGAGGACTTTATGTGTGCTCTAGCACTTCTCATTGACTAAACGCATTATTTACTATTGTGGCATATCTGTTTGACCACTGATATTTACACATCTATCTTAGAGAGAATTATGTGTTTGTGTATTGGCTTGGTGGGGGGTGTCTGCTGTGTGTCTCTTATTACTAAATGTATTGCCTAGGAGATAGGTGGGGTGGGGGATGTGGATTGTTTGGTGTTATGTGGTTGCATCCCATTGTTCTATTGTGTGTCTTGCTTGGGAGCAAACTATTATGGGATGTATGCGTTTGTGTATTGGCTTGGTGGGGGTGTCTGCTGTGTGTCTCTTGTTACTAAAAATGTATTGCCTAGGAGATAGGTGGGGGGGGGGGGATGTGGATTGTTTGGTGTTATGTGGATGCATCCCATTGTTCTATTGTGTGTCTGGTTTGGGAGCAAACTATTATGGGATGTATGTGTTTATGTGTATTAGCTTAGTGGGGGGTCTCCAGCAGCCCTCCCCCTAATGGGACTGTCTGCTGGTGTGAAGTTTGAATACCTGTGTGTCTCTTGTTACTAAATGTAGATAGCCCCACTCTGTGTCATTATGCAGGTAGGGGGGATTGCCCCGCCCTGTGTCATTATGCAGGGAGGGGGGATTGCCCCGCCTTGTGTCATTTATGCAGGTAGGGGGGATTGCCCCGCCCTGTGTCATTATGCAGGGAGGGGGGGTTGTCCCCTGAGTGTATATATCTTGTATCTTTGTTCAAATAAAACTAGTCTACCTCCTGGTTTACTTCAAGACTGGTGTGGTCTAGTCTTGTATGGTCGGCTGTGGTGTCCGTGGTCGGTGTTCGGACGGGGAAGCGGTAACGGAAGTACTTAGCGCAGGCTGGGTCAGGTTCCCTTACAGTCTTCTTATCTTATAATAGGTTATTAATTTTTACCTTTTTTTTGCATGAAATTCTGCTTCAAAGTAAACCTTTTATCCTGCATGGGCAAGGCACAGGATTGTTTTAAGCCATTGTTTAAAAGTTTTAGCAGACTAAAAATTAGAAATGAGTGTTTTTGTGTATTATTTTTTTTATGCATCATTAAATTAGAAGTGGTCGGGGTAGAGCTGAAATCTTCTACACAGGAAGGGAAACGTTTTTCTTAGCTCTTTTGTTTGCTTAGGTTCAGTTTCGGTGGCTTTGAAGGTAACAATCTACACTGTAACAGGTCAGACCATCGGTACATAATAATGTTTTTAACACCGACCTTGTCTTTTAGAAATGAAATAACCTTGTATGATGATTATGTCTGAAAAACAGCAAAATAACAAAACTCCGCTTCCTAACTTTCAACAACATGGATAATTGTTTTTAGAGAAGAATAATAGTCCTGGCTGTGTGACTTTCATTGTAGAAAAGGCTGACCGAGCTCATCAATGGGGCAGACTTCTCAAAACTAGGGATGAGCCAACTGGGCAACGTTTAGATTGCTGGGCGTTCGATGAACCTAGAGAGACGTTTGTGAACCTAAAACATTGAGCTGACCCTCATGGAAGTCTATGGGAGCTGAACCTTTTTATCTGTTTTTGGCCTTCTTCAATTTCTAAGCTTTAGGTAAAAAAAAAAAAGAGCATGGTCTGCTGGGCTTTGCCATGGGAGCCATGGAAAAAAAATGGTGGGGGGGGGGGCTTTTAATGCAGCTCAAAGAGCAACATTAAAAATACACAAATCCCTTAAGCAACATGCTATGGCACATGTGTCAAACACAAAGCCGAGGGGTTGAACACAGCCCTCCAGGCCATTTCATGTGGTCCTCAAACCTCTCCTGCAGCTATGGCACCCCCCCCCCCCCTCTCACCACCACCTTGTCTCTCCTCTCTGTCCTACTCTATGCCCACCCCCCATCTCTGCAGTTGACAGCAGAGAGGAGGACAGAACCCCTCCTACAGATCCTGTGCCTCTCTGTGCAGGCGCAGCACCCCCTGTTATCCACCACCGCCACCACCACCCTGTCTCAGCAGTTGGAAGCAGAAAGGACAGAACTCCTCTGCCTGATCCTGCACTTTTCTGTGCAGCCATGGAGCAGCTGGTTTCTGTCCATCACCCATTTCAGCAGTTGGCAGCAGAGAGGAGGACAGAACTCCTCCTACAGATCCTGTGCCTCTCCGTGCAGCCGCAGCACCCCCTCATCTCCACCACCACCTTGTTTCAGCAGTTGGCAGCAGAAAGGACAGAACTCCTCTGCCAGATCCTGCACTTTTCTGTTCAGCCATGGAGCAGCTGGTCTCTGCCCACCCCCAACCTTAGCAGTTGGCAGCAGAGGAGGACAGAACTCCTCCTACAGATCCTGTTCCTCTCTCTGCAGCCACAGCACCTCATCATCTCCACCACCACCACCTTGTCTCAGCAGTTGAAAGCAGAAAGGACAGAACTCATCTACCTGATCCTATACTTTTCTGTGCAGCCATGGAGCAGCTGGTCTCTGTCCACCCCCCATTTCAGCAGTTTGCAACAGAGAGGAGGACAAAACTCCTCCTACAGATCCTGTGCCTCTCTGTGCAGCCACAGCACGCCCTAATCTCCACCACACCACCACCACCACCCTGTCTCAGCAGTTGGAAGCAGAAAGGACAGAACTCCTCTGCCTGATCCTCTCTGTGCAGCCACAGCACCTCCTCATCTCCACCACCACCACCTTGTCTCAGCAGTTGAAAGCAGAAAGGACAGAACTCCTCTGCCTGATCCTATACTTTTCTGTGCAGCCATGGAGCAGCTGGTCTCTGTCCACCCCCATTTCAGCAGTTGGCAACAGAGAGGAGGACAAAACTCCTCCTACAGATCCTGTGCCTCTCTGTGCAGTCGCAGCGTCCCCTTATCTCCACCACCACCTTGTCTCAGCAGTTGGCAGCAGAAAGGACAGAACTCCTATGCCAGATCCTACAGTCTCCATGCAGCCATGGAGCAGCTGCTCTCTGTCCACCCCCCATCTTAGCAGTTTGTAGCAGAGAGGACAGAACTCCCGCAGATCCTGTGCCTCTCTGTGCAGCCACAGCACCCCCTTTTCTCCACCACTACCTTGTTTCAGCAGTTGGCAGCGGAAAGGATAGAACTCCTCTGCCAGATCCTGCGCTTTTTTGTGCAGCCATGGAGCAGCTGGTCTCTGCCCACCCTCCATCTTAGCAGTTTGCAGCAGAGAGGAGGACAGAACTCCTCCTACAGATCCTGTGCTGTGCAGCTGCAGCACTCCCTCATCTCCACCTCCTCTGATCTCAGCTGACTGCTGCATTGCCTTCAGGAGTGAAGGGGGTGCTACACATGCTAGGTTTTTAGCAGAGGAGTATAGCGCCCCTCCTGGCTGGGGTAGAAGATAACTTTCCTCCAGCATGGGAAGAAAACCAACATTACACCAGAGGGATTCCATGACCACAGTGGTGATAGTCATGTCAGTGATAGGTGCCAGTCATTTTATGCTTTTTCTCAAGTTTTATTGCTTTGACTCACAGGAAGATGGGGTTAGGGTACAGGTCCTCCAGCGACAGGGCTCCAGACTCTGCCAGACTTTCTTCTCTTTCCAAGGGAGTGGCTCTACCACCTTTGGGTTCTATACCCTTCTCCACCGAGCAGGGTAGCTTGAGGCCTCTGAGCTAATCCGCAACTATATTTTGTCCTGCTTAGCACATACCATTGCACACACCCTCTCCAGGCCTCAGCCTGAGGGAAACAGAGCTAAGCGGGCCACTTCCCAGACATTTAGAGCCTCTCCTGGCATGCACCACTGGCCATGCACCTCCTAGTGGTTGCCAGAAGGAACAAAAATGCTCAGTAGTTCAAAACTCTTACCACCCTATGATGATTGCCATGAGTGGCAGTGACACCCACTGGCAGCAGCAGGGAACAGCACCACCCCTCAACCTAGTGGAAAAACCAAGTGATAAAATGACAAATTGGTCTGAGAACATTACTGACCAGGAAAGTTAAATTTACTAGACACCTCTAACAAGAGGGTCACTACAGGATGGGGGGGGGGGCGGGGTTTGTGACTAGATCCCAAGATCTGACTTTGGCCCTTCTATCCCAGTCCCCATAGCAACCACATGGGCTCCTATGGCTATGTCAAGATCAGGGGTCAGGCTCAAAGACCAGTTGCTATAGCAGTGGAAAGACTCACCTGAAACCAGTAGGATAGGTACACAGGCAGGTCACCGTGGTGGAGGAGAGGGATCACCTGAGGTGCGGAGTCTAAGGTGTCCGTTTATGACACAGAGAATAGCTGCGATTCAACATATCTCAGCTATTCTCTGGTCATTCACAGTTTATAAACACCCAGGAGATCATGTCAGCCCTTCTCTGGAGATCTGTGTTCTCCCTCCAGATTCTCCAGCCCAGAGCTGGAGAATCGGAGGGACCAAAAAAGAACTAATCAGAGATAATTTACCTCTGCTTAGTAAACTGATCTTTTACTGTAATCTCGCGAGATTATAGTAAAATGAGCCGTTTTCCAGAGTTTGTAGACTGTTCTCCAGCGTTTGGAGACCGTTCTCCCTTCGTTTGGAGAACTGCTTCATAAACTGCATTCACAGGAGAACTGTGTTCTCCAAGAATGCCGGAGAACTGAGCAGCGATCTATTACCGCTGGTTCATAAACGGACACCTAAGTACCAACCGGTGTTCACCAGAGCTCCTGATGGTGGAGATGGATTTGGCTCAGGGGGTGAGCAAACAGAGGTCCAGTAGCGTATAAGCAGGTAAGGATCAAACAGAAGCGTGGTCAGTAAACAAGACAAGGTCGGTAAGGAGCAGTCGCAGGTTGGGATCAGGCAGAAGCGTAGTCGAGAACAAGCCAAGGTCGGTAAGGAGCAGTCGCAGGTTGGGATCAGGCAGAAGCGTAGTCGGGAACAAGCCAAGGTCGGTAATGAGCAGTCGCAGGTTGGGATCAGGCAGAAGCGTAGTGGAGAACAAGCCAAAGTCGGTAAGGAGCAGTCGCAGGTTGGGATCAGGCAGAAGCATAGTCGAGAACAAGCCAAGGTCGGTAATGAGCAGTCGCAGGTTGGGATCAGGCAGAAGCGTAGTCGAGAACAAGCCAAGGTCAGTAAGGAGCAGTCGCAGGTTGGGATCAGGCAGAAGTGTGGTCAGTAAACAAGCCAAGGTCGGTAAGGAGCAGTCACAGGTTGGGATCAGGCAGAAGCGTGGTTGAGAACAAGCCAAGGTCGGTAAGGAACAGTCTCAGGTTGGAATCAGGCAGAAGCGTAGTCGAGAACAAGCCAAGGTCAGTAAGGAGCAGTCGCAGGTTGGGATCAGGCAGAAGCGTATACTGGCTGGAGAGCACAATAATCTGGCAAACAGGAAGTGCAGAGACATGGCTTATATCAGGAAGTTCATGGGAGGAGCAAGGGTTTCAAGGTTCATGACAAACAAGGTCAAGGTAGGATCATCCAAATAATTGTCAAGGGAGGTGTCCAGCATTCTAGGTGGCTCAGCAAGAAGAAACATTGCCTCTCACCGCAGAAGGCCCAGGTTTGGACCCAGACTCTAACAGACTATTTCTAAGCCCCGGGCTCCTTGTATTACTGAATCAATCTTTCCGTTACAAAAGCTGACTTATTGTCTTTTGTGGCACAGAGGAGGCATTGGGGCCGTTATAAAACCGTTTTGTTTTATTGCAGTAACTGGTAAGTGGAGATAAGTTTGACTTTTGCAGAAGGACGATGGCAGCACATTCTATCCCGTCCATTAAACGTATATAAGTACTCGTGCTGCTTTCAGCAAAGTGCGGCGATTCCGCTGAATAATGTTTACTGTATTAGCATATTATTTTCTCTGCAACAAACATCTGCGACCTTGTATGTGGGCCACGTTATGGGAGTCAAGAGCCTCCAACTGTTCTGTGAGTTATTTCAATTTGACGAGAAGAAGAAAACATAAGAGGAAATAAAATGGAAGCTGTGCTTTACACGTACTGGGCAGACAGGCCCACGTATGTAACTTCACGGGCCATGAGCAGCATGTACTTACCTTCTACTCATTAATCCACCCCCTCAACCTACTGCCAGCCTGCCTGAGTGGTGGTCAGTGAAGTGCTCCTCTTACATTAGTGGTCAATGTAATGCTATGGTTCATTGATGGTCACTGGTCAGCAAAATGCTCCTCTTACATTAGTGGTCAATGTAGTGCTATGGTGTTTTACTGGTCACTGATCAGCGAAGTGCTCTGCCTACATTTGTGGTCAATGTAGTGCTATGGTTCATTGGTGGTCACTGGTCAGCCAAGTGCTCCTCCTACAGTAGTGGTAAATGTATTGCTATGGTTCATTGGTGGTCACTGGTCAGCGAAGTACTCCTCCTACATTTGTGGTCAATGTAGTGCTATGGTTCATTGGTGGTCACTTTTCAGCGAAGTGCTCCTCTACATTTGTGGTCAATGTAGTGCTATGGTTCATTGGTGGTCACTTTTCAGCGAAGTGCTCCTCCTACATTTGTGGTCAATGTAATGCTATGGTTCATTGTTGGTCACTTTTCAGCGAAGTGCTCCTCCTACATTTGTGGTCAATGTAATGCTATGGTTCATTGGTGGTCACTGGTCAGTGAAGTGCTCCTCCTACATTAGTGGTCAATGTAGTGCTATGGTTCATTGATGGTCACTGGTCAGTGAAGTGCTCCTCCTACATTAGTGGTCAATGTAGTTCTATGGTTTGTTGGTGTTCACTTGTCAGCAAAGTGCTCCTCCTACATTAGAGGTCAATGTAGAGCAATGGTTCATTGGTGGTCACTGGTCAGTGAAGTGCTCCTCCTACATTAGTGGTCAATGTAGTGCTATGGTTCATTGATGGTCACTGGTCAGTGAAGTGCTCCTCCTACAGTAGTGGTCAGTGTAGTTCTATGGTTTGTTGGTGTTCACTTGTCAGCGAAGTGCTCCTCCTACTTACAATGATGGTGAGTAAAGGGCTCCCACTTGCACTAGTGGTCATTGTGGTGCCCCTATTACATCACTAGTCAGTAAAATGCACCCTGTTACATTGGCGGTCAGTAAAGTGCTCCTCATACATAGGTACTCAGCAAAGTGACCCTGCTTACATTGGTGGTCAATGAAATGCAATGTTACACTTCCTCCCCTTTACACTGGTGGTCACTGAAGTGCTCCTCTCACATTGTTTGTCAGTAATGTTCTAATACATATATTGGTGTTCAGTGAGGTGGCATCTTACATTGGTGTTCAGTAACATGCTCCTCATACATTGTTGGCCATTGTAGGGCCCCCATTACATTGGTGGTCAGTGCATTTCCTTCATTACATAGGTGGTCACTGAAGTGCTCCTCTTATATTGAAGGATATGATCTCCATGTATAATACATAAGGGGGATATGATCTCCATGTATAATACATAAGGGGGGATATGATCTCCATGTATAATACATAAGGGGGGATATGATCTCCATGTATAATACATAAGGGGGGATATGATCTCCATGTATAATACATAAGGGGGGATATGATCTCCATGTATAATACATAAGGGGGGGATATGATCTCCATGTATAATACATAAGGGGGGGATATGATCTCCATGTATAATACATAAGGGGGGATATGATCACCATGTATAATACATAAGGGGGGGATATGATCTCCATGTATAATACATAAGGGGGATATGATCTCCATGTATAATACATAAGGGGGATATGATCTCCATGTATAATACATAGGGGGGGATATGATCTCCATGTATAATACATAAGGGGGATATGATCTCCATGTATAATACATAAGGGGGATATGATCTCCATGTATAATACATAGGGGGGGGGATATGATCTCCATGTATAATACATAAGGGGGGATATGATCTCCATGTATAATACATAAGGGGGATATGATCTCCATGTATAATACATAAGGGGGGGGATATGATCTCCATGTATAATACATAAGGGGGATATGATCTCCATGTATAATACATAAGGGGGATATGATCTCCATGTATAATACATACGGGGGGGATATGATCTCCATGTATAATACATAAGGGGGGATATGATCTCCATGTATAATACATAAGGGGGGATATGTTCTCCATGTATAATACATAAGGGGGATATGATCTCCATGTATAATATATAAGGGGGGATATGATCTCCATGTATAGTACATAAGGGGGATATGATCTCCATGTATAATACATAAGGGGGATATGATCTCCATGTATAATACATAAGGGGGGGATATGATCTCCATGTATAATACATAAGGGGGGGATATGATCTCCATGTATAATACATAAGGGGGGATATGATCTCCATGTATAATACATAAGGGGGGGGTATGATCTCCATGTATAATACATAAGGGGGGATATGATCTCCATGTATAATACATAAGGGGGATATGATCTCCATGTATAATACATAAGGGGGGATATGATCTCCATGTATAATACATAAGGGGGGATATGATCTCCATGTGTATAATACATAAGGGGGGGATATGATCTCCATGTATAATACATAAGGGGGGGGGTATGATCTCCATGTATAATACATAAGGGGGGATATGATCTCCATGTATAATACATAAGGGGGGATATGATCTCCATGTATAATACATAAGGGGGGATATGATCTCCATGTATAATACATAAGGGGGGGATATGATCTCCATGTATAATACATAAGGGGGGATATGATCTCCATGTATAATACATAAGGGGGGATATGATCTCCATGTATAATACATCAGTGGTTCATATAGTGAACTCGGTGTAGTTATTCCCCCTGAGGTCATCACAGAGGACAAGGGGCGCTCTTTACATCTGGAGGAAAAGAAATGTCATCTCCAAACACGGAAAGGTTTCTTCACAGTAAGAGCTGTGAGAATGTGGAATAGACTCCCTCCAGAGTTGGTTGTGGCCAGCTCAGTGGATTGCTGTAGGAAAGTCCTGGATTCTTTCTTGGATACACAGAATATAACTGGATATAACATTTATAGGGAAAGGTGATCCAGGGAATATCCGATTGCCTCTCGGGGGATCAGGAAGGTGATTTTTAGAGCACTCAAACGCAATAAATGACCCACTTTTTTGTATAATATACAAAATGAGTTTGCGCTGAGTAAATAGATACCCAACATGTCAAACCTTCAAATTGCGTTTTTCCAAGAAATTAAGACAAGCTTTGGTACCCTATATTTTCTTTAATGAGACATCAATAATCTGAAAGGCCCCTGATGTGTCACCTCCAAATCAACGAATGGAACGCAGATTGCACGCGGGACGTTTTACAGCGGCTGTTTTTGGCTTTTGATATTTCTTTCTACAACCTACCCCCCAGCATGTTATCCTCGGTGTCCGTACACACAGAGACTGGAATCAACATTTTTTGGCAGAAAAAAAAACCCAGAACTAGCGGGCTTCTAGAGAAGTTTTTTAGCTGTAAAAATGTTTTAACGCTGAAAAATGCGTTAAAACATGGTACATGGCCGCAAACCAGCACTTTTGGATGTTTTTTGACCCAAAAAATCTATTTTTTGATAAAAAATGCAAACGCGGAAAAACATAGGAAAATGCAGCTAAACGCAGAAAAACGCAGCTAAATGCTAATGCAAAAACCTAAAAAATGCTGCTAACGAAAGTGACACCAAATCTCCATTTTTGGAATGCATTTACAAATATGTGCAAAAATATGTTAAAATGACTTTTTTATACGTTAAATAAAATCTGAACATATTTAAAAATAATATATATTTTTAAAATATTTTTCATATATTTTGTAATATATAAAAACCGCATTTCAACATACAGTGTGTGTGTGTGTATATATATATATACATATATATTTTTATTTATTTCAGGTATTTCATTGTATATTCACATCAGTCCCTAACCCTCAAGGAGCGTACAATCTAAGGTCCCTAACTCACATTTAATACATACACATACTAGGGACAATTTAGACAGGAGACAATTAACCTCCTCTAGCATGTCTTTGGAGTGTGAGAGGAAACCAGAGTACCCAGAGGAAACCCATGCAGGCACATGGAAAGCATGCAAACTCCAGGCAGGTGGTGCCGTGGTTGGGATTCGAACCAACAACCCGAGTACTGCCAGGGGGAAGTGCTAACCATTTAGCCGCTGTGCTGCCCCATACATACATACGTGTGTAAATATATATATATATATATACAGTGGGGCAAAAAAGTATTTAGTCCCCACCAATTGTGCAAGTTCTCCCACTTACAGAGATGAGAGAGGCCTGTAATTGGCATCATAGGGAGACCTCAACTATGAGAGACAAAATGAGAAAACAAATCCAGACAATCTCATTGGCTGATCTGGAAAGAATTTATTTACAAATTATGGTGGAAAATAAGTATTTGGTCCCCTACAAACAAGCAAGATTTCTGGCTCTCACAGACCTGGACCTTCTTCTTTAAGAGGCTCCTCCTCCTGCACTCATTACCTGTATCAATGGCACCTGTTTGAACTTGTTATCAG